AGGCCTTACAGAAAATGATAAAATGATTAATAAAATATATTACCACAACTATGGATTTTAATTATTTGCTGATTCTAGACCTCTCCATGTATTTATAGCAAAATCATTCTATCTCAAAACCCCCACAATTCTTAGCCAAGTTCTTTTTCTAGCTTCCCTTCATTCCTTACCCCATAGATTAACAGCTTCCTCTCCCCCACTCCCCCAATGCTGATAATCTGACCAACTTTAGTTATTTGGCCTCTTTAGCAACCTTCCTGGACTGGAGCGCCTTCCCAAAATTTCAATTCCTAGAATTTGGGGGGATTTTAGCAGTTGAAATCCACATCCTTGTACGTCACCCAGGTTGCATCAGGCTGCTCTTGTCCTTAATGTCCTTCCACTAGCCCCTGGAATATTTTTTTAAAAAAAATCCATACTGGTGGCTTTTTTTCTCTCTTGTGGCTTTGAAAATATCTTTTTTGCTGTTGGGAAGGCAGCTGGGAATTTTGCAAAGGAGAAACATACCATTAGAAGGGAAAGGTAATAGCTGCCCATAAGGCAGACTAGAAGTCAAAATAATGAGGATGATACCCACTCTTGGTTGTATCCTTCTATAGATGATTTCTATGTCTTTGCATCTTTTGTACAAAATGCAGCTTAGTCTGTAAACTCAAAGTCCTGACTTACATATCAAAAGTCACATTTCTACTTCATTGTGCAAAGAAAAGACATAAGAACATATATGTCTGTATACATGAGAGAAAGGGGAGGTGGAATCTAGTCTTGGTATTAGCTAACAAGGTGTCCTCTCATCCACAGTAAGGACCTTTGTTGGTCACTTTCCACTAACATTTAACACAACTGGAGGGGCATACGCAGAACTACATCAAATTGAAGGAGTTATCATAAACCTGGTAAGTGTAATAATTCTCCTTTAAATATTTGTTTTCATAAAAGCATCTTGTGAGGCCATTTTTGGAAATTTTAATAAAACCTCCTGATGCTCTCAGTCTTCAGAGAGAAAGGGAAGAAATGGACAAGCTGTAAGAGGGCAACTTTATGCCATTGGCAGTTGTGTGGCTGTATTGTATCCTGGGTAAGTCCTGGGTTCAAGGCATAATTGCCGAACTTAGAATTCTTGGTTGAACTTTTTTCCCCCTTGTTTTCAGCTGAATGAATCCCTCTCAACATTTCCTGGTTATTATACTTCAACTGTTAAAGCCACAAGGTAAGGAGCATATCACAGTGAAAGAGCTGGGGTATAATTTGATCTCTTCCTCCCTTCTTGATATGGTTGATATTATATATATACATGCATGAATGCATGCATACATACATACATCATACATACATACATACATATATATAACTAGGGCTTATTTTCTAGTTGGGTCTTATTTTGGGGAAACACGATATATATGTATAATATATAATGAAGAATGAGCCGGGCCAACCACAAGGCAAAGCAGCAAATTGCAATAGCTGACAGGTTAACATCACTTCTTAGAGATAAGCAAACCAAGCTGTGTCTAGTAAGGGAGGAAGCAACAGGAATTAAACCTCCATCGACCAACATGACTGAAGCAAAAACAACAGAGTTAATTACAGGTGGGAGGCGGTTGGAAGGGCCTATTACCCATGCAAGGGCTAAATTGATTAATGATATATAAAGGCATGGATTTCTGTAATGGTAGTAATAAATATAATTTTAGTTCCAGAAATCGCAAGATGTCTGCTTCTTCTCTTACAAGTATGCCTGGAACTCGTATTTTTAGAATAGTTTGTAATGTATAATATATATCTCTATATCTATCTCTATATCTCTCTATCTCTATCTCTCTCTCTCTCTCTCTATCTATCTATCTATCTATCTATCTATCTATACATACACACACACACACACATATATATATATATTTATATACATATATGTGTGTATTGTATATATGTATATGTGTGTGTATATGTATATAAATATGTGTATGTATGTATGTATGGAATGTTGTGCCTACAGAAAAAAGACTTGTTTCTTAAGGCACAACATTCCAATGGTCTGAGTTAAAATTTTCTGTTATGCTTCCACAATCCCTCGCTCTTCAGGCAAGAAGATACTGTTCAAATATCCATCCAGAGCACTTTTTCTATGGCTTCCAACGTCACCTTTTCTGAAGTAATCGGCACAGTGCAAAGTCGGATCCGAGCCTGCAAAGCTCCCACCCCACCCTGCCAGTTCATCTCTAATTTGACCCAGCTCTATAGAGGTAAATATTCCAGAGTTTCTAAACCTCCCCCGAAAAAGTGTTTTGAAATAATTTTATTTACAACAAACAAGAACATTTTCTTCATAGCCATCTTCATTGAAGTTGGAGATGTCTCAAAATGTCTAGAGCAGAGGTGTCAAACTCGCGTCGTCATGGCGGTGTCATGTGATGTATTGTGACTTTTTTCCCCTTTGCTAAACTGGGCATGGGCCTGGCCAGCATGTGATGCATCCAGCCCACGGGCCGTGAGTTTGACAGCCCTGTTCTAGAGGCTGGAATGCAAAGATCAAATCTGTTCCGACATGTGTAATTTGTTTCATTAAAAAGGCTCTATAGAAGGGAAGGCAGTTGTCATTGCATGTGAGGCTTTTCATCTCAGAGATACAACATTTGAACTTGTCCAAGTGACCTGAGCTCAGTTCTGAGAATCAAATAACGGGGAGGATACACTAAAAAAAAAAAAAGAGACAGCGGTTACAAAGACATTGCGATTACTTAGATTTTTCAAGAGTGTTAATCTATTGGTGGAGATCTGCAGTCTGTTAAAGCACTACTGTAATCACACAATTGCACTTGAGATACTTTATGAAAAAGATTAGTCTGCTTGGCACTTCATGAAAGACACGCAGAGAAAACACACAAGTCAGAAAAACAAAAACCGAAATACCAATGTAGAAAATTGCCAAGGTAAATAGATGTAAATCCCACATCTTTAGCCTGAGTTTTTCCTCATGGGATGTATATAATATAATAATAAAAGAAAGCAGAGAGGCATAACATTTCCTATCTCTAAAAAGTAGCCTAGCCAGCATTGTGTGCTAAATCTCACCCAGAAATTCAGCAACTCAGGGAACTCATCCTCAGGGAAAGTGTTAATAGAGAAGAAGTTCATTTCAGTTAAACTCCTTATTTTAATGCCTATTTTGCTTGGCAGCAGAGTCAGTATATTCTTACAGTTGCTTTTATTTGGATGGGATTCTTAGTTATGTACAGTTTAAAGACAAGAGGGCGCTTTGGGATATCAAAAATTCTGTGCTCCCAGCTGTGATTTTAGTTTTATTGGTATAACTCTAAAGAAAACAAGATATTTATTTATCTTGTATTTATTTTCTTTTTATTTTTTTCTTCTTTGAGAGGTGAACAAGCATAATTTTCCTTGGTCCTTTATGTTGACATCTCAGAAGGAAAGCTAAGTACAAGTAAAAGTTGTAATTTGCAAAGCAAGAATACAGTAAAGATGCTTCCCCCACCCCCGCTTTCCAAATCAAAGTTATAACACTGTAAATGTATCCCCCACCCCTCTCTCTTTCTCTCTTTTTAGCTGGTGGTCTATGTAAACATAAAGATCCGGAATGTGACAAAGGGACTTCTGTGTGTGTAGACTTGGATGGCATTGCTGTTTGCCAATGCAAACCTGGGTATTTCAAATATAACAAACTGGATCATTCATGCAGAGGTATTGTGCTTTACACAGCTAGGTGGCTGGGACTAGTCTTTTTAATCTTTTGATTCCAGTTCAAAGGATTTTATGCAGATCAACACAATTCCTTGCCTTTCTATGCATGCTAAGGAACTCTGCTCTCTGAATAAGTATTAAGAGCTTACTGGGTTTTTCGGTCTTTTATTTGACTAGAGTGGAGATATTGGGGGTATTGTCTTCTGCCCACTCTCTGTGAAGCAATAATATTATCTTCTTGCACAGCCAGAAAAATAAAAAAAATAAAAGAGAGCAGGCCAGGGAGGAGTCCGCTACGCCTGTGATGAAAATTAAATTTTTAGTGATTACATTGTGCAGTTATTTCTGTCTTCGTTTTGTCTGATTTCCTAAGGAAGTGGAAAAAAATTAATGGATCTTTATGCTCAGCTGTTTACGTTGTCTGAAAAGTATGCATTGTTTTCGTCCCCCAAAGTGGATAATCCACAATTGGAGCCAATGCCATTTACTGAAGGTTCTATCAGAATAAGTTTCATTTGCTGCAAAACAAAATTTTACCCTCTGTGCATCTTCAGGGACATTCAATTCTACGCCGACTGAATCATAACATAGATAAATTTTCAAATGTTATCTAAATTTCAATAATGTGACCCCATTTTTTATTTGCAATTGTAGCCATAGCAATCTCTTCTATTAATCTGAATTTTGAACAAAAACAGAAAATCAGGAAAAATGCATATTTGTGAGATATTGCAATGAAATTGGATCTAATCCAGTCTGTTAGGAAAAACATTTTTATGGGCTCCATAAAAATACTTTTATGGGTTCCAAGAATACTTTGTAGAACTCATAGATTACTCACATAAACACTCACAGAAATACAATCTAAAATAAATATTCTAGATCAGTGTTACTCAAGCTTGGTGACTTTAAGATGTATGGACTCCAACTCCCAGAATTCCCTAGCCAGCCTTCATGCTGGCCAGGGAATTCTGGGAGTTGGAATCCACACATCTTAAAGTTACCAAGCTTGAGAAACACAATCTAGTTTGTAGATTTTGATTGGGTATACAAATCAAGAAAAGTGAGGTTTTTATAAGTATGATTTGTTAAATAAACTATAATTGGCTAATCTACTGTTAGATTCACAGTCTAAGACTGGTGGAAACTTAATAATTCAAGTCCTAACCCAGATTCTAAAAAAATATTGAGGTAGTGTTTAAAAATATAGGGATTCCAAGCAAGGTAGGGTTTTGTTTTGTTTGGAAAATCAGGGCGTTCATGTCTGAAAAATTCAATATTTCCAGGTAGACTTTTAAGTATTGAGCTTCTGAGGCTCCAATCACAATTGATATAATAATAGATTTCATTTTCTATATGTGTTCAACTTTGATCTTCCAGTCCCAATATTTCATATTTTTTTCCAATTTTCAATCCTCAATCCTAGCATCACCCAGTATAGCAACATCAATGAACCAGATTTTCTTCTTTTCAGTGACTGTTCTATAAGGCATGTTATGAACAAGAAGCCTGTGTGTTTGGATCTTAAATTCCCATAAGACCTTAACTCACTCATTTTCCAAAACCTTATCAACTTGGTGGTCCCAGTAGGTGTTACTGCATTCAGATCCAAACCTCTGGCAAAGTTTACAATGAATAATTCTGCCAACTTGGTCATGATGCTGCGGATAGGATTTTGCAAATATCATTAAAAAGCATGAGCTTTTGTGAGCTATAGGTAGCAGAAAGGCTAGAAAAAGTTGTTAGTTTGAAAGCGTGCTACCAGAGTCCTCTTAATTGGTCCGTTATCATAGACCAGGGATGTCAAACTCACATCATCATGGCAGTGTCATGTGATGTATCGGGACTTTTCCCCCCTTCACTAAACCAGGCATGGGAATGGCCAGCACGTGACACATCCGGCCCATGGGCCGGGAATTTGACAGCCCTGTCATAGACTAATATGGGTCTCTTCCTCCTGTGGGTTGTGGTAATTTCTCCAAGGAATGACTCTACTGTATGGAGAAGCAGGAACCAATGATAATGACTCAAAGGGAATATCTTATAGGAGCCAAATGAATTTCGCCATCAGTACCAATAAAAGAGAACAATCGTTCACGTCTAAACTGAGCTTGTTTTTTTGCTTGCGCACATTCCATTACCTAATTTCACCATCAGTGTTTGGAATGATCAGAAGAAAAAAGAACAATTGAAATGGAAAGCGTCTGCTTAGTCACATAGTACCGAGAATAACTGTAGCTCAGGGTTGAAATGAGGGGTCTTTGGTGCTCTTTGAGCCTGGCTGTTTTTCTTGCAGATGTTTCATTATCCAAACTAGGTAACACCATCAGTGCATTGTTAATGAAACATCTGCAAGAAAGCAACCATGCTGAGAGAGCACCAAAGCCGACATAGTCATACTGTACTTAACTGCTTCATTGGGAAATGTTGTAATAATTATCTGAGTAGATGCTGTTCTCCTCATTGATTGATTTTAATCTGCCCTAGTGCAGGATTCCAGGTTTCCTTCTCAAATGTTGGCCATTCTAATAGGTGCCTGTATCTCAGGTGACATTTTTACCATTGAAAGACTGAGCAAAGATATGAGTCGGGGCCATGTATCTATTTTATCTATGTTTATTTCCTACCAGCTGCTTTTCTCCCTGCAAAGGAAAAAAATAGAGGTTTTATGTCTTCAAACCCCTTTCTCCCTCCCCTCATATGAAGTTTGGAGTTGAGCTGAACTTCTGTTGACTTGTAATGTATTTTCCTATACTGAGTCTTCAATCACAGCCACTATGTGGAATAATACTGACCTCTACTGGTTTAAATACATTTAACTACCAACTGATGTTTATTTACATATATAAAACTTATCCTAGACAGATATTGATTTGTAAAAAAAAAATCAGTCCATCACCTTTTTTACCCTCTTAATAATCTTAAACAGCCCTTACATTGTATTCTCTGAATGTCACTGTTGGGAATTAAAAGATTGACACAGTTGATTCTATTTTTTATGAACCCATAAAAAAAATCTGCAATTGTCTCATAGCAAATCCAATTTGAAACTGCTTTTCAGAGAAACTGTTGTACAATATACTACAGCTTCTTAAAAAGCAAGCCTTTACATTGTACAGCAAAAATAACCCTTGGAATCTCAACCATTATATTTTGTTCAGCCATTGGCATTTTATTCATCAACATTCTTTTCTTGATTTTTAGCCTGTGAAGATGGGTATAAACTCGAAAATGACACTTGTGTGAGGTATGAAAAATAAGGAGCTATTTTTCTTTCTTTCTTTTCAATACACTGTGTGAATGTAGGCCTAGGTGTCCTCAGCTGCCCATTCCCATTGTGTGGAGGAACAAGGAGGTTAGGGAAGAAATGAGGTGGTTGTCTGCCCCTTTGGTCTAGTTGTTAAAGACCAGCTTAGAAGGGGGAGACTGTGAGTTCAAGTTCTGCCTTAGCCATGAAAGCCAGCTGGATGACTTTGGGCCAGTCACTCTCTCTCAGCCCAACTCACCTTAGGTTGGGGAAAATAGAAGGGGGAATGTGTATTGGATATGCTCATTACCTTGAGTTATTTGTGAAAATATGAACAGTGGGATACAAATAAATCCATTTTAAAAACTATACAATGTTTGTTGCTCTTAGAGGAATGAACCAGGATCCCAAGGTGGTAATAGTTCTCAGATGAACCAGTCCATGGGAGGAGGCAGAGTGTTAGCATTAGAATTTACAAGAGAGGGGTCTTTTTTACTTCATTCATTGTGGATGAATGGATTCCTGCTGAAGAAATTGTGGGTTTATACATAAGAGACTAAAACTATATCTCCACTGTTTTCTTTTCAGTTGTCCATTTGGATTAGGGGGATTCAACTGCAGGAATCGTATGTATCCAGTCCAATGTCCTTACCTGTTCTATCTAGTTTTATTTGCATTTCTTAATTTTAATGTTCCCTTCCATTGTAGATTATCACTGATAAGCATATAAAACCAATCAATTTAGAAAGTAGTTACCTCAAAAGTATCTTAATAGATAATTTAAATATAATATACAAACATATATTTATCTATATAAAAATAATTAAATTGAATATGCATTCAAAATTTACAATATTTCCAGGTTTGGTTACTCTTTAATATAGTATATGTTAATTCTGTCAAGATTCCGGCAGTTACCCCAATTAACCCATTTTCTATACACATTTTATAGTTGACAAATACACTTTAATATATACCATATTGTGTTTAATATATGTATAACTTTATAAAATATTCTATCTCCCTTTCTGCATTTATTTATTTGCTCATACAATTTGGATGCCACCTGACTCCAACTGACTTGGGGAAGTGGATCTTTTCATTTTGTGAAAGGCTTATGCAAATAGATTTATTTGACACAAAATTCATACTCATTTCTGATTGGAGAACTGGTGCCATCCTTTCAGTGTGGTGGAGAAAATAAGCAGATGTACAGATGCAGAATTCCTTCAAGTTGAAACAAAATGCTTTGCTGAGGGATATGGTGTTGCTCTCAAGTGTCTCACTGAGGTGGAGCGTTGCAATTACTGAGTTCACAGTTTTAAAAAAAGAAATTCAGCAGAACTCTAGAAAGATGGTAGAACATAATATGGGATTCTAATCCAATAGCATTTCAAAATCCTTTCTTTAGTGCTCCCTAAGTTAAATGATAGCTTCAAGTATATCTTAAATTGGAGGATTCAGATAGATTAACGATTATGGTCACTCCTGGTTCATATTCTAAAAGATTTACTAGAGATCAGAGATTGAATGTCTGCCTTTGCAGGAGTTTTGAAATAATGTGACTCCCAAACCTTATTGCTTTACCGCAGGGGTGTCAAACTGGCATCCCACAGGCCAGATGCATCACGCACAGGCCATGCCCACCCCAGCTCCACAAAGACAAAAAATGTCATGATACATCGCACAATGTCACAT